ACATGAATCGGGGTACCGAAAAACTGGAAGTAGCCCAGGACCAGTTCTTTCCAAAAATATATAGTTTATATGCAATTCCAGCTCTGGATAATTTTGGCGATTTTTTGAAAAATCATAAAATTTTTCCAAAAATTGAGGAATTTTCAAGTGGATCCAATGGGCATTTGGAGAAGACATGAATCGGGGTACCGAAAAACTGGAAGTACCCCAGGACCAGTTCTTTCCAAAAATATATAGTTTATATGCAATTCCAGCTCTGGATAATTTTGAAGATTTTTTGAAAAAAAAAAAAACATAAAAAGCATATGTTACACAAAATCATAAAATACATTCATACATATGTACGTACAAAAATTACCTTTCAATCCTCAACACTTGTGTTGTTATAAACGATCAATAAAAGAATCGATCCCTAAATATGGTCAAAACTTCTGACACCATAGCAACTGTGTAGGGAATTTTGAGAATTTTCTCAACAAAGAGCTTAACTTTTTTCGACTTGTTCTAGAGTTTTTGTGAAATCTTTATTTTTTTTAAGACATTTCCCAATATTCGCAAAGAATTACAAAATATTTCTCCTTTACTAGTGTTTTTATGAAATCTTTTAAAATTTTTAATTTCTAGAAATTCAACTGAATTTCACTATTCATTTGACTTTCAAGATAAAGTCATTGAAAAAATTAGAAATATGTCCTAAAAATCAAAGATTTCACAAAAGGAAAGACAACATTTTGCGAATTTCCTCAAACAATTGCTTCATTTTTTACTTATTGTAGAGTTTTTTAAATTTTCACAACGAATACGAAAAATATTACCTGAGAATGGTTATCGTGGTCGTTCACTACGCGCGAACGGTCAAGTAGAGTCGAAGGGACTCTATTTTTACATTATTATTACCTGAGAATATAAAAAACACAAGAAAAAAATTGTGCTGTCATAAACAAATTACAGAAATCATATATAAAAAACGGCGATCCCAACAACAAATTAACAGCGCCCAAAACGATCAAACCTATTGGCAGCGAAGCAATAAAATATGCTTAATTTTCATGGAAAACTTACAACAATATTTTGCTACCTCCATCACTCTCATTATTTATTCACAAAATAAAATTATGAATTACCGTTAAGATAATTCTTTAAAAAGAGTTCATTGAGTGATATTTAATATTAACAACAATTAAAAACAATATGAAAGAAATGTTTATTTTTTATCGAAAGTATTTTATTTACACGTAAAAACTGTAAAAACGAAAATTCAAATCAAATATTGAACAACAGAAGTTGATTTTTGAAATGTTTTCATAATAAGAATAACAGTATCGACCCGAAACTACCTACATTTTTCGCAAAATTTTATGCCTTTTCAAAAAATCGTCAAAATTATCCAGAGCTGGAATTGCATATAAACTTTATATTTTTGGAAAGAACTGGTCCTGGGCTACTTCCAGTTTTTCGGTACCCCGATTCATGTCTTCTCCAAATGCCCTTTTGATCCACTTGAAAATTCCTCTATTTTTGGCAAAACTTGACGATTTTTCAAAAAATCGTCAAAATTATCCTGAGCTGGAATTGCATATAAACTTTATATTTTTGGAAAGAACTAGTCCTGGGCTACTTCCAGTTTTTCGGTACCCCGATTCATGTCTTCTCCAAATGCCCATTGGATCCACTTGAAAATTCCTCAATTTTTGGAAAAATTTTATGATTTTTCAAAAAATCGCCAAAATTATCCAGAGTTGGAATTGCATATAAACTATATATTTTTGGAAAGAACTGGTCCTGGGCTACTTCCAGTTTTTCGGTACCCCGGTTCATGTCTTCTCCAAATGCTCCTTGGAGCCACTTGAAAATTCCACTATTTTTGGCAAAATTTGATGATTTTTCAAAAATTGGTCAAAATTATCCAGAGCTGGAATTGCATATAAACTATACATTTTTGGAAAGAACTGGTCCTGGGCTACTTCCAGTTTTTCGGTACCCCGATTCATGTCTTCTCCAAATGCTCTTTGGAGCCACTTGAAAATTCAACTATTTTTGGCAAAATTTGATGATTTTTCAAAAATTCGTCAAAATTATTCAGAGCTGGAATTGCATATAAACTATATATTTTTGGAAAGAACTGGTCCTGGGCTACTTCCAGTTTTTCGGTACCCCGATTCATGTCTTCTCCAAATGCTCCTTGGAGCCACTTGAAAATTCCACTATTTTTGGCAAAATTTTATGATTTTTCAAAAAATCGCCAAAATTATCCAGAGCTGGAATTGCATATAAACTATATATTTTTGGAAAGAACTGGTCCTGGGCTACTTCCAGTTTTTCGGTACCCCGATTCATGTCTTCTCCAAATGCCCTTTTGATCCACTAAATTTTTGGCAAAATTTTATGATTTTTCAAAAAATCGTCAAAATTATCCAGAGCTGGAATTGCATATAAACTTTATATTTTTGGAACGAACTGGTCCTGGGCTACTTCCAGTTTTTTGTTACCCCGATTCATGTCTTCTCCAAATGCCCTTTTGATCCACTTGAAAATTCCACTATTTTTGGCAAAATTTGATGTTTTTTTCAAAAAATCGTCCAAATTATCCAGAGCTGGAATTGCATATAAACTATATATTTTTGGAACGAACTAGTCCTGGGCTACTTTCAGTTTTTCGGTACCCCGATTCATGTCTTCTCCAAATGCTCTTTGGAGCCACTTGAAAATTCCACTATTTTTGGCAAAATTTGATGATTTTTCAAAAAATCGTTAAAATTATCCAGAGCTGGAATTGCATATAAACTATATATTTTTGGAAAGAACTGGTCCTGGGCTACTTCCAGTTTTTCGGTACCCCGATTCATGTCTTCTCCAAATGCTCCTTGGAGCCACTTGAAAATTCCACTATTTTTGGTAAAATTTGATGATTTTTCAAAAGTTCGTCAAAATTATCCAGAGCTGGAATTGCATATAAACTATACATTTTTGGAAAGAACTAGTCCTGGGCTACTTCCAGTTTTTCGGTACCCCGATTCATGTCTTCTCCAAATGCTCTTTGGAGCCACTTGAAAATTCCACTATTTTTGGCAAAATTTGATGATTTTTCAAAAATTCGTCAAAATTATCCAGAGCTGGAATTGCATATAAACTATACATTTTTGGAAAGAAGTAGTCCTGGGCTATTTCCAGTTTTTCGGTACCCCGATTCATGTCTTCTCCAAATGCTCTTTGGAGCCACTTGAAAATTCCACTATTTTTGGCAAAATTTTATGATTTTTCAAAAATTCGTCAAAATTATCCAGAGCTGGAATTGCATACAAACTATATGTTTTTAGAAAGAACTAGTCCTGGGCTACTTCCACTCTGCCGGTACCCCGATTCGTGTCTTCTCCAAGTGTCTGTTTTTTGCATTTGAAAATTCTATATTTTACTACCATATTTGACGAGTATAAAATTATTTTAACTAATTTTTATTTTATATATTAATTTTTTGAATATATTTTAATATAATTTTAATTTATTTCTTAAAAAACATTTTATTTGGTGATCGTTTTATAAAAAAATAAATTTTAATTCATTTGAAAACGAATTTTATAGTATGTGGAACGTATTTGACATATGTGGTGTGGGACGTATCTGGCCGACGAATTTAACTTCACACCCTTATAAGTTTTTCATTACGAATTTTCTAAAATATAACACAGCGAGACAAAATAAGCGAAAATTGAAATACCTGGGAAGTGATACTTTTTTCTGAATGGTGGATGCGAGTAGAACAAGAATCTGTTTTTGAAATTTGTCAAACACCTCCAAAATCTTGAGATACGGGTAAAAAACGGGTTTTTTACCCGTTGCACTTCATCGGCAAACATATTTTTGATTTTAGTTTTGTACCCCTTTTTTCAAGTTTGGAGATGTTTTTTCAAAGTATTTTGTATAGGAACCGTACTATTTATAAACGTAATAGAAAACTATATGTCATATACTATATATAAGAACCTATAAGAGGGGACTTTCTGGTACTTTATCGTTCTTCAAAAGATACTTTTTGAATTTTCTATAATATTCAGACATGCATATATCTGATGGAATTAGAATCTATAAAATTTAATGTTTTGGTACTTTTTGTTATTCAACTGGTACTTTATAATATTGAATCTAAAAGCCGCAAATTTAAACACGCACTAATTCAATTACAATTTATTAAAGGAGTTCATTTTGGTCATTCAAATGGTTCTTATCGATTTTCTGAATTATTGAACTCAGAATCATTCGTATAGGATCCTAATGGAATTGTAATATTTCGTTTTTCATAGTCACACAACGTCCTGATTGAATGAAAATTTATAATGGGAAATTTTCCGGTACTTTTTGTTTTATATTTGGGATTTTTTAATTTTTTGTAATAGTTTGGTGAAGGTTATATACGATTTCGCTCAGACGTCTATAGTCTGGTCTAAATCAGAAACATTAGTCTTGAAAGCCGTCTCATATATAATAATCTTATCTATAATCTGGACTTTAGTTTTATCTATAGTATTTAATTTGGACTTCAATCTTTCCTGAAGTCTCGCATTTAATCTGAAGTATATGTAGTTTGAATCAAAGTCTCATCTATATTCTAGACTATAGTCTACAATCTGGGCAACAGACTTCATCTCAATTTAGTGTCGCTATTCAGTAATAGGTATTTAAAGATATGATTGAAGCGTAATCATATATACTCCATCATATGGACTTTGCTAATAAAACATTTTTTTATCGCCCAACTTTCCCAAGGAACAAGATAATTTCATATAAGGAAAATCATATATTTTCCGCCTTACTATTTTCAACATTTAAAACCTAAGTGTTCTTCACCTAAATATCGATAAATCCAAATGAATATTTCTCATAATATTTTACACTCCTTATTTTAAAAGATATCAAACACAATAGTATTTATTTCAAAATAAATCACATACTGTTAAAAACTTTTTAATTAAACTTGAATTATTATTGGTTTCTTATCTTTACAGTGTTGCAACCAACTGCAAAGAGTCTACAGGACAACACATGTGGTAAAAGAAGAAAAATAGCTAAAGACATGTCCTTTTATTGTTTAAAGTATGATTAAAACATTTTGTATGAATGCCATTATTTTGGTAGTAAATAAATCAAAAACAGTTGCCAGTAAAAGTGCAACAACTAAAGGAACAAAAACAATAGTAACAAGGATACCCACCTACACAACTACCACAACTTATCATCGTAGGCACTACCACCAGCAGCAACACTTTCACAAAGACAAGAGGAACACCAACACCAGCAAATATATAAAGTTTTGTTTTTATGTTTTTTTTCTTTTACACAAAACATAACCACATTAATATATTCAACTGGAATAACGGAATCAGAGTGTAACTGAGCAGAAACATTGGCTGCCATCATACGTTGTAAAAATATATTTCAAAAATAGATAGCCTAAAGCAGCACGCCTTCTACGATATCAACGATAAGGACACCAACAAAAAAAGTAGAAGAAAAAAATAAAGAACAGGAATCAGAGGAAAAGACATTACATACACTCTCTCTCTGTGACTTTTTCATCGTGATATCATAATAATGTCCAGCCATTCGGGGACAATTGGCCGCAAACGTGGTGGCAGCGGTAGTGGCGGAAGTGAATATTATTTTAGTGGCGGCGAACATGCCATACGACGGCAACGTTCAGCTGAATGGCACAGCAGACATGCCTACAACAGCAGCAGTGAGGATGAATATCAGAATACGGGTCAAGCATCAGCATTCGATACGCAATTGTTGGCACAGCTGTTATTGCAAAGTCAGCAATTGGCAAGTAAGTCGTTTAGTCTCTACTTTTTTCTAAATTCAGTTCAGTTTCGTTTAGTTCATAGTATATATAGTTAAGTTAGTTAGTCTTAATAAGTCTATCGTTCATTTAAGCACTTTTTAGCATTGCAACATAAAATATGACTATATCCGGTATCTATGTTTGTATCATTGAAATAGATGGTATGAATTTGTGTGTCTGTGTGAAAATAATTTTAGTAAAAGGATAAAGCTTTAGCAAAAGTATACGGGAGAGATGTTTAGAGAGGGAGTTTAGTAATATAAACCAGTTAATAAATAACTATAGGCCGAGGTAGACTTTTTCAAAGGCAGTATTTTGACATTTTCAAAGGTAGTACTATGAGTTTTCAACTTATTTAAATGATCAAAAATTAGCTTGGAAATATATATAAGACTAGACTAGACTAGACTATAGACTAGACTATAGACTAGACTATAGACTAGACTATAGACTAGACTATAGACTAGACTATAGACTAGACTATAGACTAGACTATAGACTAGACTATAGACTAGACTATAGACTAGACTATAGACTAGACTATAGACTAGACTATAGACTAGACTATAGACTAGACTATAGACTAGACTATAGACTAGACTATAGACTAGACTATAGACTAGACTATAGACTAGACTATAGACTAGACTATAGACTAGACTATAGACTAGACTATAGACTAGACTATAGACTAGACTATAGACTAGACTATAGACTAGACTATAGACTAGACTATAGACTAGACTATAGACTAGACTATAGACTAGACTATAGACTAGACTATAGACTAGACTATAGACTAGACTATAGACTAGACTATAGACTAGACTATAGACTAGACTATAGACTAGACTATAGACTAGACTATAGACTAGACTATAGACTAGACTATAGACTAGACTATAGACTAGACTAGACTAGACTATAGACTAGACTATAGACTAGACTATAGACTAGACTATAGACTAGACTATAGACTAGACTATAGACTAGACTATAGACTAGACTATAGACTAGACTATAGACTAGACTATAGACTAGACTATAGACTAGACTATAGACTAGACTATAGACTAGACTATAGACTAGACTATAGACTAGACTATAGACTAGACTATAGACTAGACTATAGACTAGACTATAGACTAGACTATAGACTAGACTATAGACTAGACTATAGACTAGACTATAGACTAGACTATAGACTAGACTATAGACTAGACTATAGACTAGACTATAGACTAGACTATAGACTAGACTATAGACTAGACTATAGACTAGACTATAGACTAGACTATAGACTAGACTATAGACTAGACTATAGACTAGACTATAGACTAGACTATAGACTAGACTATAGACTAGACTATAGACTAGACTATAGACTAGACTAGACTATAGACTAGACTATAGACTAGACTATAGACTAGACTATAGACTAGACTATAGACTAGACTATAGACTAGACTACTAACTATAGACTAGACTATAGACTAGACTATAGTCTAGACTATAGACTACATTATAAACTTGTTGTCAAAAATTTTTAAGTTAGAAAAAGTACCTGAAATGCATAGTCGGATCTGCAGTCTATAACTAAATTCATAATCTCGATTTAGTCTGGACTTTATATGTATGTAGTGTAGAATATGGTCTCATATATTTTCTATTTCATAGTGGTTCTTTAGTCTGGACTCTATTGTTGTCTTTAGTATGGACTGTAGTATATTTCAGATCCACTACTAATAGTTCGAAAAAATTTAAAACAGTAAAGCCTTGGAAAACTAAAAATATTTATTTTTGCTGTGTGATCTCTATCAGTATTTCAAATCCTCAATACTTCTATCAAGTGTAGAGTATTTAAAAGGATACCAAATCTCCATTAGTTATAACGTTTTGTTAGTTTCCCCATATACATACACACACTTACTCGTATATTTGTAGTTGGCCTGGCCAATTGGTGCTGGATTTTATGTTTTTCGTTAGCAATGTTAGTAACTGTAACCCAACATTTATATGTGTGTTTGTGTATATATGTATCTACCTCACATAAATATCTATGAGCAAAATTGGATTTATTCTATATTTATTTGAACCAAAAACAAAAAAAAGACCGACGAAAAAAATGTGCGAACTGTTCAGTTTTGTTTTTTTTTTTTTTTTTTCTATATATAAACCTAGTGCATAGATAGGAGAAGGACAAATTCTTCTCTACTTTTTTTTTCAATTAGCGATACTATGATAAGAGGATTTCCACAGAGATTAAAGAAGTGATGAAAATAATTTAATTCTTTTTTTGTTTTAATTCCATTTATTACAAGCATTTTTGTACAGACTATATATTTTTTTGCATCTTTCCTGATAGTGGCAGGGTTCACAGATTTTAAGGTTGAGTTCATTTGCTATATTTTATATTAAAAGGGGTTTTAAAACAATTAGTTTTGTTTTTTATGTCTTTTATTCTAAATGAAATGAAAATTGAAATGAAATTTAAAAAAGAGTTTTTCATTTGTACAACGCCATGGGTGGTTTTCTTTTTATTGGCTATTGGTTTATAAATTTTTAGCACCATAAATGAAAAGAATGAGTTGAAAAAGATTTAAATAAAGTTATTTTCTAGTTGTTCGAAAAAATAACAATAAAATCAGTGAGGTTTTATGTGGCATAGTGATCAATTTTCAGCTCCATTAAACAAAGTTATAAAGCCATATTTATTGGGGCTAAGACAATTGAAATGTTATAACTAATAACTGCCAAAAGTGAAACACACTTGTTCATGTTCAGGCGGTCAAATTTATGGGTTATTAATTAGAAAAATTAATAACTAAAAATTAGAAAAATATTAATGGCAAACGAAGACTTTAAATTGAACTAAACGAATATACATACTAGTATTTTTCCTTTCCAATAATACATTTTTCCCATTTTTTCCCAGATCTCGATCGTTATAATTCTGATTTTGAAAATGAAGAACACTTATCTTCACGACTGAATGAATATCCCTCCTCATCGAATCGTGATGCCTCATTAAATGCCAATGCCGCCAGCCAATCGTATTTACAGCATCTACAGCAGCAAGAGAGCACCGAACTGTGTTCACCGCTGAAACAAACACCAACTGCCAATTTGCATACGCCCACAACTGTAACCACAACCACGACTGCCAACAATAAATTTCTAAATAATGCCAATTTGGGGTTTCTACCCTCGACAACACGCAGTACAAATCCATTTCTTAATTCCAAATATGATTCACAATCAAATTCTGACTCACTTAGTGATCGCATATCGTTTTCGGGTAGTTCGGCTATATTGGATCGTTTACAAAGCGCCAATGACTTTGCAGCGGTAACAAATCCCACAACCGTTCAATCCGTTATGAATAGTGCATTTTTAATGCCCGCTAGTTCGACGGCAAATAGTTTAAATCCGAATTCAACGCGTTCACATCGTTCGAAATCGGGTCGTTCGGGTGGTAATCGTGGTACCAGTGGCATGACTTCATCTAGCAGTGCTACGTCTTCCAATAGTAATGCAACCTTAAATAATACACGTAATGAACGTGATAAATTTAAGTTGCAGCAACTCCAAATGGAATTGCGTGAATATTCAGAATCAAACTTAGAAAGCTCAAATGCTTCCATATTAAATGGGGTTGGTGTTGGTGTGACTGGTGTCAGTGGTGAATTGGATGAGTTGCATATATCGGATGGTGAAAACACTGAACCACCACCAGAGCCAGCACCACCAGAAATTCCACCACGTACACAGTCGCTTTTAATGTCGCTGCGCAAACATTCGGAGTATAAATTGAAATATGAGGAAAAAGGCGACCAAAAACATGAGGAATTTATACCAACAAGTCAATTGCAACAGTTACAACAACAGCCGCAAGTTCTTCAACAGCAAAAGGGTAAGTTGTTTTGTTCTATGAAAGCTTTTTACTTGCTAACTAGGGAATAATGGGAAAATACAATTTTCTTTGAATACAGTTAAAAATGGTAGAGGTTGAAAACTTTGTTGCAATTGTTTCAACAATTTTAGTACAGTTTTTTAGAAAACTTTCAAATAGCTTTATACAGTTATAAATAGCTTTTGTGTGTTAGGTTACAGTACATGTTGCCTGTTGTCAGCGTAACAGTCTTTGAAGCTTTTAAAAGTTCTTGTTTGGTGTATGAATACATTACTGGCATAGAATCAGTATAGAGTTAGTACATACATACACACATAAATATGTAAAAGCTTTTATGTGAATAGTTAAAAAAGCTTTGCTTTGAATATAGTTTGAAATGCTTTGAATAAACAAGTACTTTATAAAGAGTACTGTAGTAACTACATATTTACTTAGATAAATTACTCCCATATAATTTTTAAAAATATAAAGTATTTACAAATAGTAAATTTAAAACGACTTTTAATATCATCATACGATTTAATATCAATATTTGACTTATTCCGATTTTTGTCACTTTTTTGACTTCAATAAATAAAGAAGTAAGAGTTCTATACTCGGCAGTGCCGAATCTTATATACCCTTCACCATAGTGAGTTTGAAAAACAGTCAAAAAATCAAAATGTCCCCTTTTATAGATTTGCATTCAATCAGGACGCTGCGTTTCTACGCTATATTTCTATGTTTAATATTAAACAAGTACGATAATATATCCTCTCCACTAAAGTGGTGTAGGGTATAAAAAGATTCAAAAAGTACCATTTGAAGAACGAAAAAGTACCAAAAAGTTTTCGTCTTATAAATTTTCATTCTATCAGTATCATATACATATGTTTGAATTTATATTTCTAGGGTTAATAATTCAGAAAAAAAGTACCATTTGGGTTAACGATAAACTCCCCTTCTTGTTGAAAGTTCAATTCAATCAGTATCGTGTTTAATTTTGCTCTTCTATGTTCAATATTAAAAAAGATTCAAAAAGTACCAGTTGAATAACTAAAAATACAAAAAAGTTCACCATTATAGATTTTACTTCCATCAGAATCCAACATGTCAGATTTTATGTTTCTAGGTTTAATATTTCAGAAAAATCAAAAAGTACCAGTTGAAGAACTAAAAAGTACCAGAAATTCTTTCCTACAGATTTTCAATCAGGACTAAATGTTTAATTTTATATTCAATATTATAGAAATTTGAAAAAGTACCAAAAACTCCCTTCTGAAAAGTTCTTATTTACTCCATGCTCTATATACTTCATTTAATGTTTCTAGGTTCAATATCATATAAAACTCAAAAAGTACTAATTAATGAAGGAAAAAGTACCAAAAATATCAAAATGCTGGTTTTACCCATTTACTCTCTACAAGGACCGAATTTCCGGCCCGCTTATTTTTAAATTATTAGTATTTTAGTTAATTGTACCTCTTTTAGTTTAGGAGATTTGAAGTCACCGAATTTTCCCATTTTTACCCTGTTTTAATCCTTAAATATACGAATTACCGAAAATACCCTTTTAGTGGAGCTATTTGGCATCAAGTGGGCGACGCTGCACGCCCTCAGAAACTGAAAAAGCTAGAATCAATATTTTGAATGGACAACTTTGACCTCATCATGAACATATGGGGGCAAAATGGGCGGACATTCATTGGGAGGGGCCTTGGAACCTTTTATATGTATTTAATATAAAAATTTTTATATTTGAGAAACTATAAGAGTAAAAATCTTCATATTTAGCACTAGGGTGAATGCATATCAAAACGGACAGAAAACAGCAATTTTCGGATTTACCATCTCCGATTTTAATGAAATTTCCCACATATATTATGGTTTGAAAGTGTTCCCTAAGTCAATGACTTTTTGATCGGTATCCCGTTCCAGACCAAAAATATCGCGCTTTGAAAATTTAAAAATATGTTAAAATTGTCTAAAAGTATATACATATAATTGCCCATAACTTTGAAATTCCTTTAAGTACAGGATAATTTTTGATTTCGTTATAAAGCCAAAGATATTGTCTTTAAAATCGTGTAAATAAAATATTTTACTTCCAAAAGGTTAAGGGTCAATTTTTATAGTGTATTTTTCAATTCCAAATATATCAGACAAAATTATAAAAGGACATGGTATGAGGATACCTATACTCTCTTCTATATTTTAGTGAAATTTTTTCGATGGAGACTCGTGTAGTTCAGGAGTTATTAACCAAAACGTTATTTAAAGCAAGTTTTTTTATACAAAATCGTATGAAAAATTAAACAAAGTGGAATCAATTCAATTTATATGGAAAATGCTATGTATCTCTTAAACTGTAGGACCAATTTAAATAATATATACAAGAAAATTATTAAGAACGATTTAACCTTACTGAAAAATTACCTTGTTACCGCCGTGTTAAAATACAAGGTGAGGTACGTGGTGTTAAATGAGAGTACTTCGATTATAAAAAAATATTAAAGCTTCACAAATCTGCAAATAAGGCCTGATCGTCCTTCATAATTTTCTTGCACATTTCATTTAAATCGGACCAGTGGTTTATGAGATACAATGTAATTTACCATATAAATTGAAATTGATTCTAATCTGTATTTTTTCTGTTTGTTTAATTTTTCATACGATCTTGTATAAAAAACTGGTTTTAAATTACGTTTTGGTTAATAACTCCTGAACTACACGAGTCTCCATCGAAAAGTTTTCACTTAAATATAGAAGAGAGTTTAGGTATTCTCATACCATGTATTTTTATAATGTTTAACACGGGGCTGTCTGACCTCTTTGACATTGAATTATACACTATGAAAATTGGCCTTTAACCTTTTGGAAGAGAAATATTCTGTTTACACGATTTTAAAGACAATATCTTTTTCTTTAATATGAAATCAAAAATTATGTTGGACTTTAAGTAGTTTCAGAGTTACGGGCAATTATGTGTATGTACTTTTAGGAAATTTTAACATATTTTTCAATTTTCAAATCGCGATATTTTTACATTGGAATGAGATTCCACTCAAAAAGTCAATGATATGTGGAACATATTATATATATTATATGTGTGGTAAGTTTCATTAAAATCGGAGATGGTAAATCCGACTGCTGTCCGCTTTCACATGGATTCTCCCACTAACAACTCTGACATCCATGTAAACATTTGGGTAATAAATTGGCGGACTAGCAATAGGGGACGTGGTACCTCCTATATGAATTAAATAAAGAAATTTGTATATCTGAGAAGCTATTATAAGTATAATCCTCAAAATTAGTATGAAGAACTTGAAATTGTAAGAAATTGGCGGGTAAGGTACATGGTATATATAAAAAAATAATATTTAAAACTCGTAAAGTGGGCTTTTTATGTATTATTGTAGTAAATTCAAAAAGTACAATTTAGTGAAGGAAAATGTAGCAAAAATTGCATTATCAGTAATGACCTTCAAGCTAAGAATTCTTGATATGTTTGAGTCCAATTGTTTAGGCCGATATTTAGGGTACATTGTTTATCTTATTTTTATATTTAATATAAGTATGTATTTGCAGGAGTATGTATTTATAGGAGGAATAGATGTTCTCATATATAATAAGAATACTGTGACTACATGTATTATAAATAAATAAAAACTCTCCTTTTAAAGCTATTTAGAAAGAAGTGTTTGGGAAGTTTTTTATTACCCCTTTGGACCTTGGACCGTCCGATTACACAGGCCAATGAATGAGGGTTTGTGAAAAAAATTTTAAACCAATTTGACTAATTTTAATGTTGTTTAAGCTGCTGAAACCGAATATGATATCTGTTCTTCTCTATCATTTTCCCGCAAAATGGCATCGAATATTTTGTTCATATATTACGGAAATTTTATATAATTATAAAAATATATTTACGTTAAATGGTTAATTTCGATTTTTTCGATGTCATCTTAAATACGGGACCTCATTCTATATATTTCCTAAATTTCACAACATTGCATAGTTTGAGTTGGACCTTCACAGTTTATGGGTTAACATTGTTCGAATTTACTAAAACTTCAGCCGTATGTTTTCTTTTATCTTAAATTTTATATTCTGAAAAAATGTTATATAAAATCTATAAAAGTAAAGGATAAGGCCTGTTTTTTTTTAAATTTTCCCAAAATATAGTTTTCTCCGAAATCCCCGAAATTAAAAACGCAGTTACGGCTAATCTGTGAGATATATCGACCTAATTTCTTTACTATTTAATTGCCTTATTTATTGTTCATAAGTCACATGGAAATCTTTTTAAAATTTTAAAATTTGCTTAACAAAATTGTTAAAAGTTTAAAACTGGAGCTTTGAAACTGCCGTTTAAAGGGTTTTCCATACCCCAAAAATGGTTTACGCTATCTAATGAGGATAAAAACTCACATTTAAGTTAATAATAATATATTTTTTGAAATTATATGGTTTATTGGAATATTTCCTAAAATTTGCTAATTTTTTTAAATATTCCTCAGTTAAGTATTTTGTGACCCTAAATGATCAAAGGAATTTGTAATTAATTTTCAATTTTTAAACGATTTTTGTGTTTTGTATCTTATTGGAACGATAATTGCGTAAATATTCAAATTATTTGTTGTACATTTGGTACCAACATTTTTGTAAAAATCGTTTTTTTTTTTAAGACAACAAAATCAAAAGGTGCTGCGGATTAATATGGAATGCAAAATTGTCTAAAAAATATAAATTGTAAAACAGAAATTTCAAGCAAAGGAAACCTTATGTTTTTCCATTTGTAAGTTTGTTTTATCATTTATTGTCAACTATTTGTTTCCACAAAATTTCAACCACCTTAAATGACTAGAAGTTTTCTTAGCTCAATTTTCTAGCTTACAAGACAATTATTTTCTTAGTAGTATTTATTTTGTATCATTCGGTTGCTTTTAATTGCGAATTTAGTACCGCAAAATAACCGTAATTAAACAATTAAAGACATTTAACTTAATTCTTAGAAATTGCGAATGAAATTGTTTTTTATTGTGAGGATTAATAATGAAAAAAAAATTCTCATGTTTATTTGCAGATTATTTAATTGCTGATGCAACAGTACGTTGCAGTGAAAGTCAATCTAAGTCAATTGCATCCAACAGTGATACGCAGAGTCAACAGGGGTGAGTACAATTTAATTAAATTACAAAACAAAATAATATAAATAACCATTAAGTTTCATTAAAAAGCTAATAAAATAATTTTAATTAAAAAGGTGTATATTGTATTTTTTTATTTGATAATCTTTTAATTTATATAGATTAATGTAAAATGAAATTTATTCTATTTTTTAATGGTAGAAATTAGATTTGAAGGCAGGCAATAATGCAATCATAAATATTATATATTCTATAGATTTCAATTTACAATTTTAGCAATAGCAATCAAATAAATTTTATTGTAAATGATAACGTAACCCAAGCAGTCAGACAGACGGACAGTGCTGCTGATAACAAAGATGACCCTTTTGTATACATTTATTGCAAAACATAGTACGATTTATAGAAAAACATAAAGTCTATTCTTATCTGAGATTTAACTGTGTGTGTGTGTATGTGCATTTATATGTATTACACTACTTTCTGTTATAACAATTGTAACTGTGAGATTTTGCGTGATTTGTAAGAAATAAATATTAAGTTAAAAGCTTGAATTAATTTTATAAGTAGAAAAATATCATCTTTACAAAACAGCATTATATCTTTTACTTTCTGAAAATAAATTTCTTAAACTTTTTTCTTTCATTTCTCGCAAGCGTTGTTGTTTTTAAACATTAACAACAACTGCCAGCAATAGCTAGCTGCATCAGTGAAAGCATCATCGGGGTACTTATTTATCCTTGAAGTATGACTGTTGTATTTTATTACCTTTGTATTCGTTATATTTTTTCTATCTTTCATCATATTGTTTGTTGTTAAATAACACAAAGACAAACTACAATAAGTACCTACCCAGAGTAAGCAGGACGATGTACAAAAAATATATAAATAAAATCTTATATTTGAAGAAAAGAAAACTACAATGAAAAATCTTGATGGAAATAAATAAAAAAAATACAAAAAAAAAGAAAATCTAAATGCAGCCAATTGTTGCATGGCTATCATATATTACTCCGTTTCCGGGTACTGACATATATACACATATAAGGGTCACACCGAATAAGAAAACCGAAGTCATAAAAACTAATGGGACACTTTAACTTAAAATTTTTTGCTAATTTTATTCTTTCAATGCTCTTTACTCTTTAGGAAATTATTTGATCACTTATCGGTGACATATTTTCGATTATAGATCTATTACCTTTACTTTTTGAAAAAATCACTAAGGGAAAACATTATCTCGTTGAACGATTAAATTTTCGCTTTCGTACAATTTTCGTCAACTGATCAATCAGATTTTCTCTTAAGTGAAATTTCCGATCACTGACCAATTAAATTTTTCTTTAGAGAAATTTTCGATTACTTATCTATTAGATTTTATTTTAGTAATCTTTTTAATGACTGATGGATCTATTTTAGTCGCAAGTAAAACTGTCGATCACTAATCGATTAAATGTTATTAATAATTAATTCATAAAAATAATTCGATAAAAAACTCACTTTAGTAGTAGCTAGACTAAATTTTCGATCATTGATTCATTAAAGATGATCGATAAAAAACTCTCTTTAGTAGTTAGACTAAATTTTCGATCACTGATCGAAAAAATCTTTCCCATGAGTAAAACTCTCGGTCCTGGATCGCAACTTATCGATCACTAAAAATATTTTTCTTAGCGATAATTTCCTATAAACTTTTTTTATAGAAATTTTTTTTTGATTGATTAATCAAAATTTTCTTTTGAAAAAGGTTTAATAGAAGATCGATAAAACGTTCTCTTTACTAACACTTTTGATCATTTATCGAATAGATGTTTGTCCTACAAAAATTAGCGATCATTTCTACACTAAATTTTCGATTACTAATTGATAAAACTTCGATAAATTTTCTTTTTTTGTAGATAATTTTTGTTAAATTTTCTTTTTTTGTAGAAAATTTTTAATAAATTTTTTTTTCTATAAAAATTTTTTCCATAAAAAATAAACCTTTTCCGAAAGCTTTCCATAAAAAGAAAATTTATAGAAAGTTTTCTCTGAAAAGAAAATTTATTGGAAGTTTTCTATGGAAAGAAAATTTATCGAAAGTTTTCTATGAAAAGGTAATTTATCGCAAATTTTCTTTAAAAAACAAAATTTATCGACAATTCTCTATAAAAAGAAAATTTATCGACAAAAAGAGAAAATTTTCTATAAAAGAGAAAATTTATCAAAATTTTCTATAAAAGAAAATTTATCAAAAATTTTCTATAAAAAGAAAATTTATCGAAAATTTTCTATAAAAATAAAAATATAAAGAGAAAATTTATAGATAATTTTCTATAAAGTGAAAATTTATCGATAATTTTCTATCAAAAGAAAATTTATCGAAAACGAAATTTTATCGAAAATTTTCTATAAAAAGAAAATTTATCGAAAATTTTCTATAAAAAGAATATTTATCGAAAATTTTCTATAAAAAGGAAAATTTATCGAAAATTTTCTATAAAAAGTATCGAAAATTTTATATAAAAAGAAAATGTATCGAAAATTTTATATAAAAAAGAAAACAATCGAAATCTGTGATCACTTTTATTTCCCACTAAAATCCGATTTTTTGAGTGAAAACACATAAGTCCGTTTTTCTCAAAAACTAAAAGAGATACAGCAAAAACAAGTAAATTTTGTGATCACTTTTATTTCCCACTGAAAACCGTTTTTTTGAGTGAAAACATAAATGTCCGTTTTTCTCGAAAACTATAAGAGATACAGCAAAAACAAGTGAAATCTGTCTGAAAAGTTTTCTACAAAAAGAAAATTTATCGAAACTTTCCATAAATTTTCTCTTTTTGTCGATAAATTTTCTTTTTATAGAGAATTGTCGATAAATTTTAATTTTTATAGAAAATGTTCAATAAATTTTCTTTTTTATTGAAAATTTTCAAAAAATTTTGTTTTTTAAAGAAAATTTGCGATAAATTACCTTTTCATAAAAAACTTTCGATAAAATTTTCTTTCATAGAAAATTTTCAATAAATTTTCCTTTTATAGAAAATTTTCGATTTTTTTATGGAAAACTTTCGGAAACATTTCTTTGAATAGAAATAAAATGAAATTATGTCTTTAGTAGAATTTTTAATCAGTTACCTCTAAATTTAACAATGGGAATGCTTCGGTTTAAATGCCATCAGATGTTTCCTAAAACCGTATCTATGTTAAACTTTAATCGGTCGTTTCTACTTTCAAATATTTCATTACAAACAGGACATTTGAAAGGACACACACACAGATCTATGTACAACAATAGTTATAATAACACAATTGCATGTAATGCATTCTTATTTTTCGAGCAACAACAACTAACATTATCTCATGTTCGTTCTTTTTTCATATTTTCTTCTATTTTATATTTATGCATTGACTGTTATTCTCATAAACGAGTCCTTTTTCTCTCTGTAATATACAGATTTGTATGTATGAGAAGCGTGTCTAACTTAAGCATGTGTTTATCTGTCTGTGTATAGATCCTATAGATGAAATAAGAAAAATTCTATACATTTATTTCTTTGTATTGTTATGATTTCCGTGCATTGAAAGGACAAGATATTATTTTTGTTTTTTTTTTATTTTTGTGCTAAAAGATTATTATTTTTTAAGAAAATGAACTTTAACATATTTCTCAAAATAGCTCATACCAGAGACATAACTAGCCAAAGCAACAATTTAGTATTAAGAGGCTACAAACATACGGGTTTGTAGGAACCTGCAGTGCTGAAGGTAGGTTTCCTTTGGGGGCGCTTAAGTAACAGGTACATCGCTCTTGGTGATGATTGACCTTTCTCTCCCCTTTGCAAGGGGTAAATAAATACACTTGACTAAAAACTATTCAATCAAATAACTTATTTGATATTTCAGAAAAAAAATTCTAAAAGAGATACATTGTATCCTCGTAAAGCCGCCGGAAAATTGTTTCCTTGTTTATGTTTTATACCAGTGTGCGTTGTAAATAATTCCCCTGCAAAAGGTCCTTTCTTTTCTCTTTTGATCACAACATGATATGATAGTTATTTAAATGGTTTTGTATTGTTGTCTTATAAATTCTATAATTTTTTAAACTTTTACTTCTTTTACTCGACTATATACATACTCGTATTATTATTGTTTTGTTTGGTCAATTTTTTCATTATGAAAAGTTTTATTCTTATTGTATAAAATAATGTTAGAAATTTTTATCTAGTTTATTAATAATTTGTTTTTTGTCTGCTTATGATTTGTTGAAGATTTATAAATAAATACAAGTTGGAGTTGTGTAGTGAAGGGAAATGTGAACTCTTTTATTCGAAATGACATTTTAAATTATTTTATTTAAAAGAATATAAGACTAAGGAGAAGTTTTTTCATGCAGATTAAAGTTTTATTGTAAAAATTGATTACAATCTGATATTTTAATAAAAGTTTTAGAAATAATCTAAATATATAAAAGAGTAGCGTTACTGACTGACTGATTCATCATCGCAGAGCCCAAAACGGCTGAACTTAAAATCATGAAATTTTGACAGTAGATGTGTTTTTAGTTATGTAGATTCACTAAGGAAGGATTTTTGTAAATTTGTACATTTAGGGGTAAAAAAAAAGGGGAAAAAACGGGTAAAATAGGTTTTCTTATTTATCTTTCCTAATATTAGTGATACAAGCAAAATTTTAAATGCACCTGTATCTACTTTTAAAATTTTTTAAAGAACTCTGGTTCTTTTTTGAAATTCGTACTTTTAAGGGGGTAAAAATGTGTAACAAAGTTGATTTTGGTACCTTTTTTGGCCCTTTATAATTTTTTAACTACTAAACAAAATAACATTTTTGTAAATATTTTGAATATATCTCCCAAAATTAGGAGACACCTGTTTCGTACTTTTTTAAAATTCAGTACTTTTTGGGTGTAAAGGAGAAAAAACTGTATTTTTGGTACTTTTTTTAACACATTAAAAATACTTTTTCGATTTATTGAAGTATTCCTATTAAATTACGGACTAACTCTGTAATATTTGTTAAAACAAAAATTTTCCTATTTCACTGGAGAAAATAGTACCAATAAAGGGGAAAAACTGAAAATTTAATTTTATTCAAACTCATTGAGCCAATTATTATAAAATTTGAAAAAGTAGTTTATTTACTCACACAAAATAAGCTATTGGTATATTATTTTGGAATTCGAGTACTAAGGACCAAATTCGAG